CTACTTTCGCTTTGCTCGTTCTATCAGTTTCATCGTCATCATCATCATCATCATCATCGTCCCCGTAAAAGTCATTGTAATGATCGTCATCACCATCATCATCATCATCGTCTTCGTCATGATGATGATGATGATCATCGTCATCATCATCATAATCGCTCCGTCTCTGATTTAAAATTAATTTACTGTTCTTCGATCTACCTTTCATGTATAATCGCTTGAAGGATGACGACGATGATGACGACGATGATGATGATGAGAACACAGATGATGATGGTGATGAAGATGATGATGAAGACGATGATGATGAAGACGGTAATGATAATGATGATGCGTTGATAACATCCAGTAGGCTCAAGTCTGCCAATGGTTTATTCCTAAGTTGTTCGGGGGTAGCACAGCTAAATTGAAGAGAGGGAAAAGAAAATGTTATTTTTTGGGAGATTTTTAAAAAATTAATTTCACTATAACGTTTAAGAAGATAATACAGTAAAGAAATAATTATTGCTCTCTCTTTCTCTCTCTCTTTTTCTCTCTCTCTTTCTCTCTCTCTCTTTCTCTCTCTCTATGTCTGTCCGTCAGTCTGTCTATCTATCTGTATATCTATCTATCTATCTACCTATCTGTCTATCTATCTATCTATCTGTCTATTTACTTATCTGTCTGTCTATCTGTCTATCTATCTTTCCCTCTCCGACTTTTTTTATATTTTATCTTTATTAGTAAATTGAATGAATTTTTTCTTTCTCTTGCAATCTCTCTCATTCTCATTCTTTCGCTATATTTTCCTTCCTTCCTCTTTCTCTCTCTCTATCTATCTTTCTCTTTCTCTCTCCTTTTCATACAAATATTTTGTAGGCTTGCATAACTGTCAATACTTGCAAAGCGTTGAACTGCATGTGTGTGTATCTGCTTTTTTCATGACTGTTTTTATGTATGTGGGTACGAACAACATACAAACAAACTAACTAAAAATTCTTACAAACAAACATACAAACAAACATACAAATATTCAAACCGGTATACAAACATACATACAAACATACATACAACAAACATACGTACTTATAGAAAAACATACAAACGTCCACGCAAGCATACAAACAACAACAATACAAACAGGAAAAAATACAAACAGGAAAAAATACAAACATGAAAAAATACAAACATGAAAAAATACAAACACGCGATGAACATACAAGCAATCATACAATCGAAAAAAACGCTAAATTCGTCATATCCTTACTTCTTACGTGTTCGTACAAGGCTGCACTTGATGATGAATTTATTGGTATAAAATACTGAGAACAAATGAACGTATGAGTAGATGGATGGATGGATGAATGGATGAATGAATGGATAAATGAATTGATGAATGGATAGGTGGTGAATGAACGAATGAAACACATGTAACAAAATAAAAAGTAGGCTAAAACTTGTGGACTAAGACAAATGAAAAAAAAACAAATGTAGAAAAAGATTAAAAAGCTAAAAAGAAAAAAGAAAAAGTAAAAAAGAGAGAAAGAGAGAGAGAGAGAGAGTAAAAGAGAAAGAGAGAGAGAGAGAAAAAGAGAAAGAAAGAGAGCAAGAAGAAAACTAAAAAATACACAAACCTAAGCTTATAACCGGAAAATAGAAATAAATGGATGAATGAATGAAGACAGTAATAACAGAACGATAGAATGAATGAACAAATGAACGAGTGAAAGAACGAACGAGTGAATGAATGAATGAATAAACAAACGAACGAACGAACGAACGAACAAATGAATGAATAAATGAATGAATGAACAAAATAAGAAAGTAATAAAAGAAGAAACAGTGCATAGTTCATGAACATCAATAGAATTGTAGATTCGAAACAATGCCAAATAAATCATAAACGCGTCACTAGCTCAGAAGCGCTGTTGAACTGTTTCGCGTATTTTGTATCAAATTTGTATGCATCTTGTATACAACTTACATGTATTTTGTATGTATCTTGTATACAATTTACATGTATTTTGTATACATTATGTATTTTGTATGCATGTAGCATAGAAAATTCTACGTAGAATTCTCTATAATTCCTATACATCTTATCAAATATTTATGAATATCTATACACATTTGTATACACTCATTATACATTTACACATAATTTGTATACACACTTTGAATACATTTATACACAATTGTATATATTTGTATAAATGTTTTATATCATATACATACATACATACATACATACAAATATTTTACCATTGTTTAATGTGTACTGATGCGTGTCGCAATTTCATTGCTTATGACTATAATTATCATTTATTATTGTAAATATATATATATAATATATACATATATTATATATATATATATTATATATATATATATATAGACATATATATATAATATATATATAGTCAAGTTATACATATAGGTATGCCATACATTTAATTTAAATTAAACAGACAGCCGAAATGAAAGAGCTTGGCTGAAACCATTCAGAAGTTGGAGGAAGAAAGGAAACCATGATGTAGCTAGAGGTTAGTTGTTTGGTATAGTTAGTAACCAGTTGGCAGCCGGGAGAACAAGGACAAGAAAGAACAAGACGGAAGTCGAGGATCAGAAATGTGAATCAGTGAGATTTAATTGAATCAACATATCAGTAACAATCTACGTCAACTTATGTTTGAAACATTGCTTGCCCACTTATAAATCTAAGAACATACAATGAAGATGAAAACATACAATGAAAAAGAAAACATACAATGAAGATCAAAACATACAATGAAAAAGAAAACATACAATGAAGATCAAAACATACAATGAAGATGAAAACGTACAATAAAGATGAAAACATACAATGAAGATGAAAACATACAATAATTCTGAAAACATACAATAATTCTGAAAACATACAATAATTCTTAAAACATACAATAATTCTGAAAACATACAATAAAGATGAAAACATACAATAAAGATGAAAACATACAAAAAACCTGAAAACATACAATGAAGATCAAAACATACAATAAAGATCAAAACATACAATAAAGATCAAAACATACAATGAAAACGAAACCAACCCATATCCTTATATTACAACCTGACAAGTAGCAGTGTAACAATAAACAATATAACTTGGTAGAGAACAATAACCAGTATAACAATATATAATTTTGATTGATGGCTCAATGTCACGCCTCGGAAATTTTTTATTTATTATAGTGTAATATTAATGATAATAATAATAATAATTTTATAATAATGATAATAATAATTATATTTTTTAACAACAATAACAATAAAAAAGTATAATTATAATTATTTGCTTTTTATTATCCCTCCATCCATACACACTTTTTAACATTAAAAACTCCATTAATTTTACTAATGCTGTTGATGCAGACGACGACGATGATGATGATGATGATGAAAACCATGATGATGATGATGATGAAGATGATGATGATGACGACGACGATGACGATAATGATAACCACGACGATGATGATGATGATGATAACCGTGATGATAACGATCACGATAAAGATGTTGGTGATGATGATGATGAGGATGACGAAACCACACCTATTTAAATTCGCCTCACGAGCGACGCCAGTGTAAACCAGAAACATAATAAACATTGGCGAATTGTAAACAACACGTGTTGGCAACAACCACAACAACACAACCACAACAACTTCAGCAACAACAACTTCAACAATAACAACCTCCACAACAACAACAACAACTACAACAACTTCAACAGCAACAACTTCAACAACAACTTAAACAACAACATCAACTTCAATAACAACATCTTCCACAACTTCAATAACAACAAAATTATGAACAACAACATTAACAAACATGGCATCAACAAAATTGCCAACAGTTTTAATAGTGCTGACGCTATAATGGTGACATCAACTTAATTTATCGCGCGCGTCAACAACAACGCCGACAACAATAACATCACTATCAAGATTTCCACAACATCAACATCAACAACATCAACAAAATCAGCAACAAATTTATGAGACGTCTTGTTTGAACCGACATTCATCTCACTTACAAAACAAATTGTTTTTATTTAAAATTTTTTGGTTACATTTTTTTTCTGTCTATGTTTTTAAAATTCTTTGTTTGCATAGATTTTTAATTTATTTTGTTTTTTTGTTTTTATCTATGCAAACATTTTTTTTAATGCAAACAAACTTTTCTTCCTATGTATACAAGGCTTTTTAACTTTGTATAATTTTTTTGGTTAAGTGGATTTTCTATTTTCAGATCTTCCTCTCTCTCTTTTTATCTCTGAATGAATAAATGAATTAATGAATAAATAATTGAATGAATGAATGAATGAAAGAATGAATGAATAAATGAATGAACGAACGAACGAACGAATGAACAAACGAACGAACGAACGAACAAATGAATGATTCGTAGAACCAATAAAATAAAATGTTAATAATGATGACAATGATATTAAAAATTAATCACATGGGTGATAAATGAGTGCAATGGATGAAATGTTTTCATTGGTCATTTCTTAGATAAACGATAGCTATCTTTGATGATGATGACGATGATGTTAATGGTGTTGATAATGATGAAGATAGTGATGATGATAATTGCAACAACGATGATGATAATGATGATGATGATTATTACAACAATGTTGATGATGATGATGATTATTACAACAATGTTGATGATGATGATGATTATTACAACAATGTTGATGATGATGATGATGATGATTACAACAATGTTGATGATGATGATGATGATTATTACAACAATGTTGATGATGATGATGATGATTATTACAACAATGTTGATGATGATGATGATGATTATTACAACAATGTTGATGATGATGATGATGATTATTACAACAATGTTGATGATGATGATGATGATTACAACAATTATGACGATGGTGATAACGAGTTTAAAAATAATCAACAAATTTGACGCCACACAAAAACATCAACAACAACATCAACAACATCAACAACAACATCAACAACAACATCAACAACAACCACATCAACAACATTAGCAACAACAACATCATCATCAATAAACAACAAACATCACAACGAACTGAAACAGCATAGAAAACAAAGCATAAACAAAAACACGGACAGTCACGCGCCGGAAGTCAACGACAACAAAGAACTTTTAAACATTGACAAAATATAACAAAGAACCGTATTTATAGAAGCGATAGAGTACAATGCATAGAATAAAAAAAACAAAACATATGCAAGTTTTTTTTTCTCTATTATCGCGATCATTAGCATCACAATCGTCATCATTAAAAATGTAATAATAATTATTTTTCTTTAAAAATCAATAAAAAATATCATTACCAAAAATCATTATTATTGTTATTATTATTATTATATTATTATTATAACAATGATAATAATAATAATTATTATTATTATTGCTTTTGCCGGTATTATTTTGATCGTTATTATTCATTTTATAATTAATGCAATACCAGCAGTTAAAAAAATTTTGTTATTCTTTTTATTTTACTGTGTACGTGTGTATGTGTGAAAATGTGCGTATGTGATTGCGTGTATGTGTGTGCGCGCGTATTTTGTGTTTGTTTAAATGTATCGTCAAATACCTCACCAAATGCTACCGTGTTTATGATGGAAAAATGCAAAGTATGTGTGTTTAATTTTGCGTGTATATATGTGTGTATGAATGTATGTATGTATGTTTGTGTTTGTATGTTTGTTTGTGTGTATGTATGTGTGTGTGTGTAAGTTGTTGTTGTGAGTGTTTATATGTTTGTTTGTATGTATGTACTTATGTATATATGTATGTATGTATGTGTGTGTGTGTGTGTGTGTGTGTGTGTGTGTGTACAGTGCGCACAAATGAGTTGTACAAATAAGACGTTGTACGTTCAAGCGTTCCCATGTTTTTGGGTTTCTGCTTGAACGCCCTCCAGTTCAATAATTCGCTGATGTTATAACCTTTCTTTACAGCAATTTAACAATGCTTATTGTTGTTGTTGTTATTGTTGTTGTTGTTGTTATTGTTGTTATTATTGTCGTTATTATTGTTGTTGCCTCTTTATTTTTGGTATTGTTGTTGTTGTTGTTATTTGTTTCATCTTTCCAACATAAAACGTTGAATGTTTTTGTTCATGGGGTTTGACAAATTTGAAAAATTTTAATTAAAATGTTTTTTTTATGGTTACAATAATGAAGTTATTATTATTATTTTTATTATTATTTTATTATTATTGCTATCTTTATTATCATTGTAATAGACATTTATATTGTGCATTTTTCTCTTCAACGACTCAATAAGAGAATTGGAAATAAATCTTGCGCCGTTAAGAATGTTACAGATGATTCGAGGTTTTTTCAATCAGGAAAAAAATTAGTAATAATAAAAAACATTGAATCAATTTTTTCTAAAATTTTGCCTAAGTTGTTTATTTTTTATTCCTCTTTCTTTTTCTCTGCGAAAAACTATTTTTGTCTCTTTCTCTCTCTCTCTCTCTCTCTTTCTCTCTCTCTCTCTCCTCTCTACATCTTTTTTCTCCTTTTTTTTCCTCACTTTTTCATTTCCTCTTTTTTCTTCTCCCCCTCACCCTCTCTCTCTCTCTCTTTCTCTCTCTCTCGCTTTCGAAAAAATTCTAACTACATTATGCAAATGCACACAAATCCAATTCAACAAGCTAAGACGTTGTCATAAAAAAAATTTATGAAGAAAGGAAAAACAAAACTAACAAGTTGGTGGCTGCATATTTGCGACCCACAATTCCACTCCTGAGCGCCACTAACAGCCACAACAAATCGCGGCCGCAGTGCCAGTTGAGGCCACTGATTTTCAACGCACGTAGACTTGGCAAGAGTTTGGGGAGGTCAACTTTCGCGTGGATGAGATTGCTGTCGATGACGCTCAGTGTCGTCAGAGTTTTCAGATGTTTCATGAAATTCTCCGAGTTTAACATTGTCTGCGTTTAACGGAATGATCTAGTCAAGGATCAGTTAGTATTGCAAGCGGCGAACGAAAGCTTGAAGATTATAGTAAAATAATTTTATTCAAAGTATTACGTAATTTCAAGTACTGATACTATTAATGATGTTTATCACAACTGCAAGGTTACTAACATTAATAAGAGCAAAACTGCCATCCAAGACCAGAGACTTCAACTTTGGCAGTTTGGTCATTGCTTCATTGTCAACAAGGACGCTGACTTCATAGTTGCTTCCGAGGTTCAATCCCACTAAACTTTTTAATCCCAAAAAACAGTCCCTATCCAGCACAATTAATGGGTTTCCGGATAAATCTAAAAATTTTAAGGTGTTTAGATGTTTGAAAATTAAGTTTTCCAGTTTTGTTAGTTTATTACTGGATAGGTCTAAATAGCGGAGTTGGAAGAACGTTCTAAAGAAGTCAACACTGATTGTCGTGATGACGTTTTTAGAGAGGAATAACGATTTAATGTTAAATATCTTTGCAGTACGTTGTGATTTTTGGCTCCACTTGTTTCTGGATTGGAAGTTGACGATCGTAGATTTCGATTCATAATTTAAATTTCCATTGCTTTGCGGTTTATTTTTATTATTTTCATTATTATCGTCGCCGTCATCGTCAATGATGTTGTTGTTGTTGTAATTTTGGTTATAATTATCACGATTCAAATAATAATTATTAATATTTTTATTATGATAATTATTATGATAATTATTATTATTATTATTAATGTCAACATCATCTTCATCACGTGATTCGCTAGTGCTTGGAAAAACGCTCCTCATTTTATCCCCACTAACTTTGCCGCCATATTTGCTAGTCTTCTTAACTTTTCTTTGATCATCATCACCATCATTATCATCATCATCATCATCATCATCATCATCATCACTGCCATCATTATCATCACCACCAAATTTACCATCATTACCATGATCACCATCGTCGTCGTCGCTATCAAAACTAAGTTTCTCAATGAAGTTATTTTCCAGTGAGAGGACCTGGAGGCTGGGTGGAAGGCTGGGTGGAAATTTGTGGATATCGTTGTACTCTAGCCACAGGCGCTGCAGGTAGACCATGTGGTCGAATGTGGTCGGTCCGATTTCTGTTTTTTTTTAAAGAAATAAATCAAATTTTTTATTTTTTATTCTCTGCAAAACCTTCTGCAATATGTATGATGAATTTGCTCGCTACAAGCAGTTTTAATGGAATTCTACAAAAAAAACACAAAACAAAACACAATGCAGACCAAACACAGCACCCAACCGACTAACCCCTGATGTAATTGTTCTCCAGTACCAAGACGTTAACAAACGGATAGTCCTCAAAACTCCACCCATCCAATTTCTTCACTTCGTTCCTACTCAGCTGCAAATATTTTATCGAGTTGGGCAAGCCTTTCGGCATTTTGGAAAGATGGCAGTTGGAGAGGTGAATGTTGGATAGGGAGGATGAGGCGAACTGAAGACGGGGTAGGTTGGAAGATAGGGGGTTGTTCCGTAGGGACTGGTTTAAGATTATGGGATTAATTTGATAAAAGGATTGTCTATATTATAAAATTAATTGAACTATCAATCAGAGAGCATAATTGGATTGAAGGATTAATTTAACTAAAGGTTAATTGAATTAAAAAACAATTAAATTGAAATTCGGTATTGGATTAAACAGTTGTTAATTCCATTGAAATATGACAAAAAAACAAACAAATGAACAAACGAACGAACAAACGAACAAACAAACACAGAGCAAACAAACGAACCAAGAAAATGAGCTTATCCAAATTTTTAAATGTCCTTTTATCGACGTCATGTATTTTGTTGTTAGCTAATACCAGGTATCTTAACGATTTAAGATCTTTGAAGGTCGATGACGTCAGATGCGTCAGACGATTGTTTTGCAAGTTTAATCTGGGTGTGTGTGTTTGTACGTGTGTGTGTGTGTGTGTATGTGTTCGTACGTTTGTGTGTGTGTGTTCGTGTGTGTGCATGTTTCTGGACGTTTCATGTATCTGCTTAGTTTTTATAGATGTTTCATTTTGTTTTGTATGTTTACGTGTAGGTTATATTTATGTTTGTGAATGTACGTGTGTGTGTGTGTGTGTGAACGTGTGAATGAGTGTGTGTTTATGTGTGTGTGAGTGTGTGTGTATTGTGTGTGTGTGTGTGTATTGAATGGATGTACAAATAAATTCCATGTTTACGTATCAATACGCTTGGGTGACTTCCCTCGTTTCTTTTGTGGTGTGTAAATAATAAGAATAAATAACAGTTCTGCAATGCAATCAAAATTTCACCACACACACACGCACACATACACACACGCACACATACACGCACGCACACACACACCACACACACACGCACAAGTCAAAATTTCATTCATCCAACCAACAAAAAAAACACCTCGATAACTCCTTCAATCCATCAAGAACGCCATCAACAGATTTGAGATAATTATATGAAAGGTCAAGGGTCAACAAAAGTTCGCACCCTTCGAATGACCTCAGACTCAATGACGTCATATTGTTGTGACTCAAGTCGAGAAACTGCAACGGTGACGTAGACGACGACGATGATGATAATGATGACGATGGAGGTGCTGATGATGATGAGACGAATGACGTGTCCAGGACCTAAACAAATAAGGCGTAATACAAACTTGAATGCATGAAATGTTTTCTTTTAAGCATTGTTTGTATGTGTGTATTTTTATGTGTGTATATGTGTGTATGTGTTTGTGTGTTTATGTGTTTGTATGTGAATTTTATTGTGGGAGTGTTTGTGTATGGGGTGTGTATAATCAATCAATCAATCAATCAATCAATCAATCAATCAATCAATCAATCAATCAATCAATCAATCAATCAATCAATCAATCAATCAATCAATCAATCAATCAATCAATCAATCAATCAATCAATCAATCAATCAATCAATCAATCAATCAATCAATCAATCAATCAATCAATCAATCAATCAATCAATCAATCAATCAATCAATCAATCAATCAATCAATCAATCAATCAATCAATCAATCAATCAATCAATCAATCAATCAATCAATCAATCAATCAATCAATCAATCAATCAATCAACCACAATCAATCAATCAATCAATCAATCAATCAATCAATCAATCAACCACAATCAATCAATCAATCAATCAATCAATCAATCAATCAATCAATCAATCAATCAATCAATCAATCAATCAATCAATCAATCAATCAATCAATCAATCAATCAATCAATCAATCAATCAATCAATCAATCAATCAATCAATCAGTCAATCAACCACACAATCAACAAGATAAATAGCCCATCAACCGTTACTCACACATTCTTCCAATCAATCAAACAAGCAGACTATCTCCCAACGATATAACGATTGGAACGCACGCGCACCGAACAGACATGCAAAGCTACTGCGACTGCTACTACTACTACTACTAATACTACTACTACTACTACTACTGTGACTGCTACTACACAACTACTACTACTACTACTACCACCCCTACTACTATTACTACAACAACAACTAATACTACTGCTGCTACTGCTACTACTTCTACTACTGCTTATATTACTGCCTACTAATACTACTAATAATTTATAATATTTTAGAAGCTAGTGACAAGAGAGGACAAATAAATTGCTAAATTACTCCCAAAACAATAAACTACAGAATGAAAATATTTCAAAAGATTGACAGCAAAGACCGAGTAGAGCTAAATCGGCTCAAAACCTCAAAAGAAGAAATTGAAAATATATAATAATAATAATAATAATAATGATGATAATAATAATGAGGCCAAGAGAGAAGTAGCAACCGACCATTTCGATGCCATTGGCACTGAGGTTCAGCCTGACCACCTGGCTCAGTCCCCCTCTCTCCAGCATCTCCCGCGTGATGAGCGCCAACTGGTTCCAGCTCAGGTCCACCCACTCAAACCCTAGACCCAAATTCCGAGGCACTTCCGCCCATCCTTGCTTCCTGCAGGTCACGTGACGCCTGACGTCATCGCAACTACATCCGGTCGGGCATCGGTCTGATACGGAAGCGGAAACGTATGGTAGGAAGGTGAGGACGAGGAGGAGGAGGAAGAAGAGGAACGCGGTGATGATAATAATGATGGTGATTACGATGGAAGTGATGATAATGATGGTGATGATGATGATGATGAGTGGGGCGATGATGACGATGACGTTTTTTGAGGGTGATGATGGCAGTGATGATGAGTTTTGTAGTGCTCACGTGATGTTGACGATAACTGAAATAAAAAAAATTTCAGTTGAGCGATCATGGACGTGACGGTAATGATGATGATAATGATGGTGATGATGATGATGATGACGATGGTGATGGTGGTGATAATTATTAGCAAAAGTTGATGATGATGATGATGATGGCGATTATGATGATGATTGTTATTTGGAAAAGGTGTTGATGATGATGCAGATGATGAGCACCTGGATGACTTTTGCAATGATGATGATGATGTGATGGATGGTTATAAAGATGAGGATGGCAAAGGAGATGATGAAAATGGCTGTGAGGCTGTTGTCGCTACTGCTGTTGCTACTGCTGCTGCTGACGATGACGACGACGATGATAATGACGTTGACGATGATTTTGAAAACAAATTTTTTTTTAAATTATTAGTAACGTTATAGAGAGTAAAAATTGTTGTTGTATTTCAGTTTACTGGGAAAAAATTCATTTTATTTTCTCTGCTTCAATCTATAATTATTATTATTTAAATTCTGGTTGTGTTATTAGTATTATTATAATTATATTTATTATTTTTCCTATTATTATTATAATTATTATTATTAGTTAAGGCAACGTTACAACTGCATCATGTATTTATTCAAAGTAGAGATGATGATGACGACGACGATGACGAAGAAAGTTATTATTATTATTAATTTTATTTTCCTGAAAAAATATTGTTATTATTATTGATAATATAATAATAATATTATTATTATTTTAATGAAAATTATTTTGACAGAATGATCTCAAAATATGCTATTCTAAAAAAATTTAATGAAGAACTTAATAGATTTATCTGTGGTTTTGAGTGTAAGCCCATGTGTACATGTGTATATGTGTGTGCGCGTGTGCGTATGCATGTGTGTGTGTATGTGTGTTTGTTTGTATGTATGTATGTATGTTAAAACCAAATACCAGATACTTTCAATTAAATACCATGTATGTATTATTATTAGATTATTTATATATAAAGCGCCCTTTATTGTTCTCAAAGGCGCTAACAATGTAAAAGTTGATTAAATGCGCTAATGCAAAAGTTGATTAAATGTTTCGCTTCAATCAAATCATATCATGAAAAGTTTGTCTGAAAAGATGGTTCTTTAGCTTTCTTCGAAACTCAGTAATTGGCAACCCACGATTTCGCAAGTCAACCGGCAAACTGTTCCAAATCTTCGGTCCCATAACAGTGAAATCTCTGCAACCAACAGCAAGCTGAGT